TTCATAAATCTCCAAGATTTAAACAGCACAAAGTGTGCCAGTATTCAAACTTCCATAAGAAACAAAGCCACTTTGATTCCTAAGGTGTTCTGATTCTAAAATTCCACTAAAAATTTCGAAGTTAAATGATTCTTCAGAAGCTCAAACTCACTAAATATCTCTCTCGCGCACGCCAGACACCCATACACACACACACACACACACACACACACACACATACATACACACACACACACACACATACAACAGAACAGACATTCTCAGCTAACTTTAGAACCACAAAATTAGGAGATAATGCAAAATCAAATTAAATTGAAGAAAACAAATAAATTTACCGGAAGTTTTGAATGAATGAGTGTCGACGACGACGTGAACACCATTTTTGCGCCGCCGTCTAACGCTGGTGGCGGCGGGGCCTAGAGAAAGGGAGTTGGCAGAGATGCTATCGGTCTGGCAAAATTGTGTCTCGAATTCTTAGACAAGATAACTAGCCGGATCCACCCGAGTCCCGACTTACTTTACCCGATCTCAATATTTATATATTTTAAATTGCTTTTTTTTTTAAGTTTTGATTTTTGGGTAAGTTTAGAAAATCCTAGACCCAATTTTAAGGGCATGATTGTTTATCAAATATTTCATCCAAAATATTTCAACTCAAATATCTAACTCAATTTTAACTCAACTCCACTATCTTTAATATTATTCATACAATTAAATAATACAAACCAATCATTCTTACACATCACATCAACTTTAATTCACTATTCATCCACTCACATAATTTTAACTACCAATCATTTCCAATCATTTATCTCCTACTTTATATAAAATCAATTTTAATCATTTTATTTTAAATATTAATTTAATATATTTTTTAAATCCCACTAATAATTAACCACACTACTTTTTCAACTTTAACCATAGTTAACAAAATGAAATATTTTGGATTAAATATTTCATAAACAATCATGCCCTAAATTTCTCATTCTATCCCCAATTTGTTTTTTTTTATTTATTTTTTATTATTTTTTCTCTCTCTTTTCATATATTTTTTTATTATTTTCTTTTTATCATCTTCTACTATTTATCTCTTCTACTACCAATTTTTCTTAATTTTTATTAATTATTATAAATTTACTTTTGTATAAACGATTCAAATCAAAATAATTATATTTTACTAATATTTATTTCATATAAATCTATATTTATACTAAATCTATAAATCTATATTTTTGTCGTTCAAATTTATCAACTAATTCTTTAAAATTAAATTATAAATTTTTGTTTTTATAAAAAAATATTTATTCAAAGATCTATCTAATTTTCAAGAGGAATATATATTAACTAGTACGATACACGTGTACTACACACGGGTACGTAAATATATTAATATTTTTACAATAAAAACAAAACTAAAATAATTTATTTTTATATTGTGAAATTATGTATAATATATATATATATATATATATATATATATATATAATGAATAACTAACAAATTAATAATTAATTCACGTGGGATCGTATTTTTACACTTAATTTTCTTATTTTATTTAAAATCTATGATAAAATGCATTAAAATGATTATTTTATGGTGTATTACTGAATTAGGTTTTTGTTATATTTTTTATAAAATAATTTATGTGGTATTCATATTTTTGAAATTATTTTTTAATAAATATAGTTCTATTTATAATGATATATGTAACTATTTTTTATTTTATATATGCAATATTTATGTCAAATCGAAGTAAATATAGTTTTATTTATAATATGTAACTATTTTTTATTTTATATATGCAATATTTATGTCAAATCGAAGATCATTATAATAAGATTATTTTGAGATATAACATACGGAAAATAAAATAAAAAAAATTATAAATATTAAAAAATAAAAAGAATATGTATTTATTACGTATTATATGAATTAAATAAGAAAGAGTAAGATTAGTATATGGTAACTTGAGAAATAAAATAAATAAAAATAAAAATAAAAACCTAAAATAGTTTATGGTTATTCTCAAACTCAAAACCGAACATGTACATGTTGGGATCAATGAAGATCTCGTTATGCACAAATCACGAATTCAATAGCAAAACGTAAACCTATGCGCAGCGGATCTAAAGGTTTGCGCAGAGAACTTACGGCTTAAATTTATGGCGGTCTGGCTGATCTTCTGGATGGCCGTACACAGCACACCAATGAATTGTTGACTGCAAATCGCGTCCTAGGATTGCACGAACAAGATCAGATCAAAAACCGGATCAAACGAGTGCAAAACGGATGAAGACAAGTTGCAGACCTGGGACCTTGCGGCGGCGCGTGCGGGCGCGTGGGTGGTCAGACGGCTGTGATCTCGGCGGCATTGGAAATCTCTTGTCGAAACGGTCGTCTGGGTATGTTGCACGTCTTGATCGGACCTCCGGTTAGTTCTGTACGACCAAATATATTTCGTCTCACTTTACCCAAAGATCTTCTACTGTATATCTCAAACACCTCTTAATCTTATACCAGTGGAACAACAAGAAGAAGATAAAGCTCGAATGAGAATTGAGAGAGAGAAGAGAGGCGTGGGGCGTGATTTACAAGATGTGGAATTCTCTTCTCTTCCCATTAGCTTAATAATGTATATACAGAGCTACAGAAGGGATCCTTAGGAGATTAGGATTAGGGCTCCTTAATTAATTAAAATACTTGTGGACCAAGCCACTTATTTTAATTAATTAAATAATATTAAATGGGCCACCAACATATTATTACACTTCTTTTTCCTAGCTCAATTTACAATTGAGACTCCAATAATAATTACTCGATTTATCTCCCCATGTTTAAGATATAATGTCCATTAATTAATTTGATTACTTACAATCAAGAATTAATCAATTTATTATTATTTCACTGAAGCTAGCACTCGTTCATCACATTATTACTATGCCAGAATTTAATCCACCTGCAGGGTTTAACATAATAATCTTTCATGAACTCACTCCGGGGACATCATCAAACTAACGCACATGGTGGCCGTAAATATCCTAACAACACATCCTACATGTAGCAAT